TTTTCTTTCCGCTCTTTTTGGCGACAGAAACCGATTTGGGTGTGGACCCGCCCGCCTTGTTGGCAGTCGTTGAGACAACCTTCAGTGATGTAGACTTCCCCATTGTAAAACAGTGAAATGCCGTTGAATTGATAAAAACTTCAGCAAGTTCTACGTAGACTCTGGTACTTAGACTACGAAGACCGTTTGCAAGTTCCGATCGGTTTGGTGCTTTTCTTTTTTCTTTTTCTATGGAACTATTTTGTGATATTGGCTTTTCAAGAATTCTCCGACCTGATGATGCTCAATCTTTGACTACTGGAGAATTTCGAAGAGTCGCAAATAAGGCCCAGGCTCCAATCCATCCTAGTGAGCCTTACAATCCTGATCAGAACCTTTCTGAAGATTGTATTCGTAAAGCAACAAAAATGTATGTTCGTTTTATGACAAGAAGAGGGATCCCAAAAGCGTTTTGGGATTGAGTCTTTATCTATTGTTTGGAATTAAGAAGTCACATGGTTCTTGGTCACTCTCGACAAGGTGATGACTGTGGCGCCAGTTGGATTTCCGGTAATACAAAAGATATCTTGCATCTGGCTGATTTTGGTATCTATGATTGGTGTTGCGCCTTGTCCCCGACACACTCCAGCCATTGGCGTGGACCCAGCTTTAATATTGGCGGATATCTGTGCTTTGCATGTGCCACTTCTCGTGGAAAAGTTTTACAGCGTTCAAGTGTGATTCCTCTCTCCAGAGAAGAGCGGGATAGCACAGATATCAAAGCTCTGAAAAAGCGTTTTACCGAAGACTTGCATATCTGTTTGAATAACTCTGACCCCATCAAGATTGATGATTTGCAGGATCCTTTGTGTGCTTACAAAGCTGATGAAAGTATATCAGACCTCTGCACACAAATGCTAACACTCCACACTTTGAACAATATGAAGATGATGAATGTTGATGATGAAGTAAGAGTATCCTCCATGTGAAAGAATTTATTGATCACAGGACAGATGGCACACAAGGCCATGCTGATGATGGTTTTGTCATGGTAAAGAATAAGAAAGTTCCTTGAAGAACTACAAAAGGGTGGTATCTGTGTGCTCAAATTCATTGTGATGAGACAGAATGGATTGATTTGAAAACGGCAAAGGAGGCCTATCCAATTCAGGTGGCCAAATATGCTGTTGCTAACAAACTTGTATCTGAGCCTGCTTTCATTTGGTGGGTTCCTTATACTTTGAAGAAGTGTGATAGAATTCTAAAGGCTGTGAAAAGAAGAGCCTTAACTCGCAAGACTGAGAAATTTGGTTTAGAATTGCCTGGTTCTGGTCCAAAGGGCGTAAGATGTGCCTACAAGATTGACGCCAACACTGGTAGCAATCATTGGGGAGATGGTGTTGAAAAGGAAGTAAAGACGGTGTTGCCTGCCTTAAGAATCTTGGGACCAAATGAACCTATTCCCCCTGCATATACTTGTATTGACTTGATAACTGTCTTTGATGTTAAGATGGACCTCACACAAAAGGCCCGGATATGTGCTCAAGGGGACCAAACTGATCCTCCTCTTTTAATAACGTATGCCAGTGTTGTCACTTGTGAGAGTATTTGTATTGGATTCTTGCTTGCTTTGTTATATGGTTTGGATATTTTGTCTGCTGACATTGCTGGAGTGTATTGGAACGCACCTTGTGCTGAGAAGATTTACACAGTACTTGGACCCAAGTTTGGAGACCTTGAGGGTCGCACTGCTGTTGTGGAGAAAGCACTCTATGGATTAAATCTTCCAGGTTATAGAAAAAATTATTTCAGAAACGAAACAACACGCATTCCGGCAGAACCAACCAGTCTGCCTCGCATAGCGCTAGTACTGAATTTACGTATCACCAAGCCAACCATTCAACACCGGCGCACCATGGGCAAATCTATCAACGCGAAGGCATCCTCGGCGATGACAAAAAAGTCGGGCGTGTCTAAGATGAAAACGTCCTCTGGGGCTAAAAAGTCCGTCAAAAAACAAGTGGAAATTGACCTACAACAGCCTAAAGACAGGGATCCCATCGATTCCAAGATGGTGTCTGAAACCCAAACTGACGAGAAGCGTGTTATCGACGACAATGAAGCGCAATACATGGCTGATGAGATTGAGGCAAAACAAATCGCCGAACGAGAAGCTCGCAGGAGTGGACATTACGACAGCATTTTCCAAACCTGTTGGAGTGGTGGATGAAGAATTTATATTCAGGAGATGCTGTCGACGAAGCATTGGAACGTCATGACCGTATCCATACGGGTAACGCGCTTTTTATGGCATGGGAAGAACGTTTTCCTGCTGCTTGGAACCAACCCTGCCTCCGGTATGACAATCCATTTAACGACAATACCGGGACAACAACTTGTGAAGATCGTTTTGCTCGCATTTTCACATCGATGAATTTGGATAATAGTCAATTGACACAGTACCTAATTGCCGCATTTGACACTGAAACAATGGAAGTGAATCCATCTGAAGAAATCTGGTTTTTACGTATTTTGGCTATGCGGATTTCCTTACAAAATCCGTTTTCCTTTTTTGGTATTGATGAGTTTGAGGGCAAACCGGACGACAATCACTGCAGGTGTTGGCTAGCGAAGGACGGACTGATTGGAACGCCCAAGTACGTATGCAAAGAAGGTACAGTAGCAGGACAGTGGAAAGCTATGTACCAAAGAGGTTGTGAAAGAAGTTGGTGAATGAGCTGCAGCTCAGTTGCAGCTCATTCCTTTTGAAAAGACTGCTCTGTATTTGACAGAGTGAATTTGAAGTCTAGGAATAGATAGTTATTAAGATTAGGAAAGCACACGGCTCTTCTACCTGTAACACCCATCATCATGACCATTACGGACTTCACCGTGCGCAAAAAGAGCTACTGCTATCTCACCACCCAGGCGAGCTCCCAAACCATGATTCCAAGGCGGTCCTCGATGCCTTTGATCCCACCAAGGACCTTCAGTTGCAAGATCTAAACAGCCTTGTCGAAAAGGGTGTGCAAGGAGGCGCCCCCGCCTGGTACACGGGATGGCCCAAGGAACAGGTGAACAACTTTAATTTTTGGAATTGTCCAATGATTAGGTACATGACGGTTGGCGAAAAGAAAGAGCAGCATTTTGATAAGTTGTACGTGCTGGACCATGACGTTCTGGAGAACGGGAGCGACCCACTGGCATTCTCTTGGCCGGCAAAGGCCTTCTCAAAAACCAATCCGGTTAAGGTTCCAAAGTTGGAGGCGTGGTTGATAAACGAGGCGCTGGAGCAATATCACTCCAAGCTGTTCGTGATGGAGGATATCACTGACGAAGATCCTGTGACAGCATACGACCTACTGGTTACACGCAAGCGAATGCCCATTCCCAAGGAGTTCTTGGATATCGCTTGGGACGGATCGTTGGCACGCGAAGTCTTGCGATTGGTGATTGACAGAATCAAGATTCTCGCCAACAGCGACGAGAAGTGCATGAAAAGTTCCGGCACTTTGTGGACCATTGGCGCGTGGCGAACACGGTCATCGGGAGAGATCAGCTTTTGAAGAACGTTGGAGAACCTGCTGTTCTCACTGCGACATCTGCCCGACGCTGGGTCTCTGGAGAAATCAATTCAGATTTTGCCAGATTGGACTTGGAGGACTCAATTGGAGATTCCCCCGACAAGACCTACGAACTGCTCACCAAGACCTTGGCAGCCGTGGAGGAGAGTAATAAGACAACAAAGACCTCCGTGGAATCGCTTTTGGAGGTAGTGGTAGCGGGCATCCATGGACAAGCATCGGACAAGGTGCCCCCAAATACAGTGGAAAAGAAGTGGCCCACAAGACTCTCCTATCTGAAGAGAGTTGCTGGTACTACGACCTCAGCTCAGCTTCCCACCCTCTGGCACGAGCTAGCAAAGTGTAAGAAGCACGAATCAATTGGAATTGTGCAGTCCCTGCTGGATGATGAGGCCGAAAAACTGAACCTCAATTTGGAATTCATCGTTTCAGCCCGAGTAATCAAGAGCCTGGTGGAATTGGAATTTTGTTCGCGCGGCGACGTTGAAAAGGGGTTGAACGTGTTTAATAGTGTCTGTTTCCAGCACTACAAAAATGCAAACGCGATCAACGATTACAACAAGAGCGATTACTGGTTGACGGGCGAAAAGACGACCGCGTCAATGAAGGATCATCAAGCCCACGACAAGATCAAGCACGCTATCTTCCCAAGGGATCCCATGCAGTTCCGTGAGATGGTCAATAGTATGCGGGTATTCTACCTTGTAGTGTTTGGAAAAACACATCCACTGACAGCCGTGTACGAAAAGTTTGCAAAGAATGTGGATTTGATCGCAAGAAAAATGGGAGTGTCCCAACAGGAGCGAGCACTCGAGCGTTTTCTCTTCGGAATCTATTCCCGAATTGATCATCGTTACTTTGAGCATTTGGTGAGGTCCGGCACAAACGCAGAAGAAAACCTACCAGACTTGGGCACCTACATGGAGACATGCTACCATGGAGGAAGCCTACCAGAGTCAAGCTTGTTTGTTGTCGCCAAGGACCCTGTAGGACCTGGTGGAACAGGAGACAAGACAGAGAGTCAGCTGAAGAGAGAGAAGGAAAGGGCCCAGGGACATCCCGAAAAAATCTGTAGATTTCAACCAAAGCACCCCCTGCCGCAGGAAGATATGTATTTCCCTTGGCGGTCCGCTTGTCGACGGGAACAGGCCTAAAGGTTTCACTTGGTGTTCCGCTCGTCGATGGAACAGGCCTAAAGGAATAGAAATAGACCTCTAATAGAAAAATTCATTTGTTTATTGATTTTTTCTCTTCTTAAATGTCAAAAATATCTTGGTCTCAAAAGCGGTCCCGCGGTTTTGATTGAGAGGTTTCATTCAATCCTTTAAAAAAGTACATTTTGATCGCGAGCCAAAGTTGTCAATAGACAGGCGCGGTTGCCTCTGCAGAGGTCCCATCAATCCACGGTTGCGCTTGAAGAAGTCCCACCCCCTGCACCTGGTTGCGCTTGCAGACAAATTGGAAAATTACAATTATGGTGAAGATTCAAACTTCTCTGTAAATGATCGCAAAAAAATCAAAATTCTCTGTAGAAAATCGTGAAACTTGTTAAGTAATACTTATTGGTTCAATTCTACGATTATCTACAGAGATTTTTGACAACCATCGACAGAGAACTTTGAATCTTCACGATCAACTACAGACTTTTGTTATATGTAAGGTGGTGGCGCGTTAAATGAAAATTACCTGTAGATGATCGTGAAGACAAAAAACTCTCTGTAGATGGTCGTGAAAATTCAAAATTCTCTGTAGATAATCGTGAAACTTGTTAAGTAACACTTATCGGTTCAATTCCACGATTATCTACAGAGATTTTTGAATTTTCACGACCATCTACAGAGAATTTTGAATCTTCACGATCACCTACAGACTTTTGTTGTATATAAGGTGATGGCGCGTTAAATGAAAATTACCTGTAGATGATCGTGAAGACAAAAAATTCTCTGTAGATGGTCGTGAAAATTCAAAATTCTCTGTAGATGATCGTGGAACTTGTTAAGTAATACTTATTGGTTCAATTCCACGATTATCTACAGAGATTTTTGAACTTTCACGACCATCTACAGAGAACCTTTTGTCTTCACGATCATCTACAGAGAATTTCTTGTTCTACGCGACTGTTGTTAAGTAATATAAGGTGGCGCTTTAAATGAAATAGGCCTTAAAAACCTGTAGATGGTCGTGAAAACTCAGGAAAAAACCTGTAGATAATCGTGAAGATCGAAGATTCTCTGTAGATGGTCGTGGGTTTGTTAAGTACTAGTTATTGGTTCACAATCACAATTATCTACAGAGAATTTTCGATTTTCACGACCATTTACAGGTTTTCCTGAGTTTACACGACCATCTACAGATATTTGAGGCCTTTTGCAATTTCTCGCACTGGCGGAAGGACAATGGCTCGCTTTTCTCCTTCTGGAAGGAGTGCCATTTTTGACCAAAAAAATCAGTTACAGATTTTTTCGGCATGTCCCAGAAGAAGAGCCTGGGCAAATCAGTAAAAAATCCTGACATGAACGAAGAACATCGCTACACCGGACAAACTACTACTGAGTTAATCAAACGGACAGGCGAACAGCCTCCAAAGCACGCCAACGGAAGGGAACTGTGCCTCATTTGGCACACAAAGGGCGAATGCAAGGAGAACTGTGAACGTAAGCATTCCCATTGTAAGCTGACTGACGAGGAAGCAACCGCAATGAAGGATTATGTAAATAAGAATAAGTGAGATGGAGGCCGGGAATCATCGGATTCTTGCAGGCCATCTCAATCGGACCCACTTTTGTTATGATCTACTTTAATTGGAGGTAGTGCTAATACTATAGGTGAGCTGGTTGCGTTGGCTAATGAAACTTATTTAAAACACGGTTGGCAAGTCACTGCTCGTTTATTCCGTTCAGATGATGCTGCACCAGACATTGATAAGCTTCCGCACCCTGCCGCACCAATGCTACACCGAGTAATGAAAAATGGGGCTCCTGTGGTGGTTCATTCGGAGCCATGGAGCCAGAGCCAACTTGACATGCGAGTCGCTCGGGGCTGTCACTCATCAGCAAACGAATTCAAAGAATTTCTGATGGAGGAGTTTTTGGATTTTGGAAGGAAGGGATTTTGGATCCTACTTCCATATGACGCCATCAAGGACGAGAAAGGACTTTGCCTTTCTCCAAATGGCTGCGTACCACAAGATAACAGAAGACCGCGGATGATTGTTGATTATTCGTTCTGGGGACTCAATGACAAGACAATGAAACTTGCCCCAGAGGGCGCCATGCAATTCGGCACGGCCCCACTACGCATCCGTGAGGCACTCATGAAGGCAAACCCGGACTATGGGCCAGTTTACATGTACAAGAACGACATGTCGGATGGTTTCTACCGCATCCGGCTGTCAACTACCGGCGCACTCAAGCTTGGAGTCATTTTACCGCGTTTCGAGGGACTTCCACAATTGGTTGCACTACCACTTGTGCTTCCAATGGGTTGCACAGAAAGTCCTCCATGGTTCTGTGCTTTCACGGAAACCGTTGCCGACTTGACAAATGTTGACTTGCAACAAAACAAGCGAGTGCCACCGCATCCTTTGGGAAAGGCAGCAGCCATCACTGACTTTGAAGTGAGGGACGCACAAGTAGTGAGACCTATACCAAAATCTCACCAGCCACTGACTTACCAGCGCCCATTGAAGAAGATGGAAGTATTTGTGGACGATTTTGTTGGAATGGGCCAAGACCATCCAAGCAATCCCTTGACAAATCAACGAGCCGTCCTCAGCCACAACATTGACAAGGTCTTCCAACCGAATCGACCCACCAACAATCAGTGGCGAAAAGAGCCACAGTCACAATCGAAAATGGCCAAGGGAGATGCCTCTTGGCACACAATCAAAGAAGCCTTGGGTTGGAACTGGGGAGCGACAACAAAGACATTGCAATTGAAAGAGAAACGAGTGAGCAAGGCCCTGTCACTCCTGGGCAAGGTCTTGGATTGCAAACGCGTCTCCCTGAAACGATGGCAGCAGGTGTTAGGAGTCTTACGAAGCCTGCAGCCAGGAATGTCGGGCAGTGAGGGACATTTCTCCCTGCTGCAGGATGCACTGATTCGACAGGTGGATTGTAGGGTGCGGTTGACTCCTGAGGTCCATGAGCAACTGGAAATCTTCCAAGATTTTCTTCATGGCCATGCGAAGCGCCCCACAACACTTGAAGAACTGGTACCAGGCGTTGACTTACACGTTGGCGCTTGCGATGCGGCAAAGTCGGGAAGGGGAGGAGTGTGGTTCACAGACGATGGAGAGGCCATCGTCTGGCGCGAACCATACCAAGAAGCAGTGAAAAAAGAGGTTATTTCCGATCACAATCTGACAGGAAAACTTACCAACTCAGACTTGGAGCTGGAAGGCACCGTCCTCCATCATTTTGTCCTTGGAAAGACCGCCCAGGTGGAAGGCGAAACCACTTATACTGGCTGTGATGACACACCAGCAGTGTCATGGCGCACAAAAGGATTGTCCACCTCTCGAAAGGCAAGAGCAAGAATATTACGGTTAGCGGCAGGATTACAGCGGGAACAAAGAGCACATCATCGTATTGGGCACTTATCTGGAACGAACAATCGAATTGCCGACGATGCTAGCCAACTGTGGCACCTGTCTGACGCCGAATTTATCTCATATTTTAATTGCACGTATCCACAGATCAACTCTTGGCAACTGTACAGGATGCCAAACGCCGTGAACTCCTTGATGACATCCGTGCTGTTGAACTCAGAATCGAACACGGAGTCTGTCCTTCAAAAGTTGCAAAGGCATACTCTGTCTGGACCACATGGGTTGCCTTCTGCGACAGCCTCACCCTTGACCCAGGATTGTCAGCGGTCGACGATCCCTTGCTCATCATCCTCCTCTTTGGAACCCAATGGCGACATGGAAAAATTGCCCCCAGTAAGAGACAGGTCCGGGGTCAAACGGCTGAAGCTGCCATGCGCCAGGTGGGCCAGGCCTTTTCCTCATTGGGACTGCTCAATCTGAGGATGAACCGATATGCACCAGGAACAATGGACTTTTGTTGGACACCGCTGCTGAAAAGTTGGAAGAAAGAGGATCCAGCAGCACAACGAGTACGCCCATTGCCCAAGTCCTTGTCAAGGCAAGCATCAAAGCTTGCCAAAAAACCCACAAGTACGCATGCCGCAAAGCTAATGCATCGATTGATGTGGTTGGGGTTTTTCTTTTTGTTACGTTCTGGCAAATTTCTGTCAAAAGGGGGTACACAATTTCCTTTCAAGTTGAAGCAAGTGTTTTTTCATATCAACGACGCAGAATTTCGTGGCGACGTCATTCCCCTTCGCCTCCTGGACATGCCACTTGTGACATTCGCCGGTCTGATATTTGACAAACAAAAAAAAACGGTGCCAGACAAAAAGATCTGATTGGGCATGTCATTAAATGGCGACAACCCAACAGCTACGCTGATTGCCATTGTCCGACACCTTCAACAGAGTCAACACACAACTGGCGACACCCCCCTGTTCACCTACTACTCCGAGTTTGGAGTCCCTTGCAATGTCACAGATCGAATGATGACAAAATATTTGAGAGCAGTTGCTCTCTCCGTGGAGGTCGATCGACCTCCCACAATCGGTGCTCTTCGATGCACCGGGGTTACCGCGCTTCTGGAAGGCAATATCCCGACTAGTCTCATCAAACTACTCGGTCGGTGGCGCTCCAATGAAGTTTTTCGATATCTTCACACACAGTCCGAGCCTTTGATGCAACGCTTGACCGATGTTCTTGTTGATCACGTCGGGCACTAGCGTTTTTTTCCACCCACCACACCCTGGGCGGCAACAAGATGGCCGAATGGAGGAAACCAGCGCTTGCGCTGGGGGATTGGGGGCCAACAGCTAGTAACAACTGTCAGCCCAAAAACATCATTGAAACTCTTTTAGGCCCAATTGGAGTCTGCGAAATCCAAAGCAATTGAGAAGGATGAGCAATCGCTGCAGGTGTTGGCTAGCGAAGGACGGACTGATCGGAACGCCCAAGTACGTATGCAAAGAAGGTACAGTAGCAGGACAGTGGAAAGCTACGTACCAAAGAGGTTGTGAAAGAAGTTGGTGAATGAGCTGCAGCTCAGTTGCAGCTCAGTTGCAGCTCATTCCTTTTGAAAAGACTGCTCTGTATTTGACAGAGTGAATTTGAAGTCTAGGAATAAATAGTTATTAAGATTACCCTAGTCCCACCTCACCCTTGGAGGAAACCAGCGCTTGCGCTGGGGGCCAACAGCTAGTAACAACTGTCAGCCCAAAAACATCATTGAAACTCTTTTAGGCCCAATTGGAGTCTGCAAAATCCAAAGCGATTGAGAAGGATGAGCAATCGCTTCTTTTCTGGCGAAATGTCCAATCCACGGCTACGCTTGGAGCATCCCTTGGTGGGCTTTTGGTTAATTTGCTCCGAGTTGTTTGATTATCCTTGGATTAATGAGTTTCTGTTGGAGTATTACGACGACCCGCCATCCGCAATTGTCGACGCAATCAAACAAACAAGAAGGGGCAAGTCTATCAACAATGCTCCAAATCGAGAATCAGTGAAGGAACCGGATCCGCCTCGTATCCAAAAAAT